TGCGCACTGGGGACAAAGCAAATGAATTGCTGTATCACTGGTGACCAAGAGTTTAGTATGGGAAAAAGGAGCTGCAAGATCAAAGGCTAAACAGAAATTTTGCGTACTGAATTTTAATTGGACGTGTCAGCGTGCACTTATGATATATTTTACCTGTTAAATATATGATAAGTAAATAAAGTAATATGCACATATTTCCTAATTCTGTCCCCTGGGAAGGCCCAGAAATAGTGACGAACACAGCAGCAAGTGCTTAGACTGGGATTTCCAAATGTCATTTCCCACTGAAAGGAAGCCGGGCTTCTTGAAGAAATGGCTGATTCCAGATTGGGGCAGGAAATGTACTCAATGAACTCAGGATGTCACATCCTGCTAGAAATCTGGGAATTATGAAGGACTATGGAGGTCATGTTAGAAGGACTCAAGAGCCAGTATGAAAAGGCTAAAGGTGGGGACAATTTGAATGTCAATAATAGTAACTGCAAGTGGTTGAAAGGTATCCAATTTGTTTAATTCCATAAATTGAAAATGGTACGTATTCCTCTCCCTTCCCCTCCAAATAATCCCCACCAACAAACTTCACTGATCACATGTGGAAGATGCTAGTTAACTACCTATTTGAAAATGACACATACATAGAAAGAGTATGACATTTACCCTTCTTTTCCCTGGCAAATTGCACCTCAGGATTATCAAATAAGTGTTGAGGAAACTCTTATCTTACTAGCCACTAAATAAAGAAGGCTATAGTAAGAAAATAATCATTTTGCAACTCCAAATTATGAAATAATGAATCCAGGAAATAATCATAAATGAATGGGAACATCCAAAAGAGAGACACTCAAAGATTTTGTGTTTCTTAATAAACATTTATTTACTATCACCTATACAGCACTTTTACAAAAAAAAAAAAAAAAACAAAAAACCTCCAGAACCTGAATTAGATTCTCTAACTACTAAATTAGAAAGAAAAAAAAACACACACACACAGAAAAACATGATAATGTTATCATGGGGATTTAATCACCCAAATCCAGCTGTTAGAAACTCTACAGGACAAAAACCTAGTTTCTTCAACAAATAAATTATAATTATAGAGAGAAAAATGAGAGAGAAAGAGAGAGAGAGAGAGAGCACACGCAAGCACGAGCTGTACAGAAACGTGGAAGAGAACCTACAGATTTAAAGAGATTTAAGAGTCATACTATTTATTGATAGTATGGACCTTTTCTGAATTCTGATTTAAATAACCTATAAACTTATAAACTCACTCTAGACTTTGATCCAATAAGGGACATCTGAACATTGACTGGATATTTACTTTTTTAATGTTTATTTTGAGAGAGAGAGAGAGAGAGAGAGAGAGAGAAAGAGAATCCCAAGTAGGCTCCCCACAGTCAGTGCAGAGCCTGACACGGGCTCAAACTCGAGATCATGCATGACCTGAGTTGAAATCAAGAGTGACCCCTGAACTGTAACTTTTTATGATTATTAAATATCCTGGGGCACCTAGGTGGCATCTGACTCTTGATTTTGGTGAAAGTCATGATCTCAAGGTTTACTGGTTTGAGCCCCCAGTCGGGCTTTGCGCTGACAGCTGCAGCCTGCTTGGGATTCTCTTTCTCCCTCTCTTTCTGCCCTCCCTTGCATGCTTGAGTGTGCAGACACTCTCTCTCTCAAATTAAGTAAATAAACTTAAAAAAATACAATAAAAAGTTACAGTTCAATTTGGGGGATATTATGACATTGTCATTACGGCTACAAAAAAGGGGGGGTCTTAGTTTTTAGAGATACATACTGAAATATTTATGGATACAATGTCTGGGATTGGTGTCAAAATAATCTGACAGAGAGGAAGTGGGAAGCATACAGACAAAACTAGATTGTCTGTAAGTGAATTTAAATACAAGATTAAATGAAAGGAAGCTTTGGCAATTATTATGAAAAAGTACAAGCAAAGTACAGGGAAATGCCATGTGTGTATCATAAAGGTGGAGTGCTAAGGCAAAGCAAATGATTCTTTGGGAGGTTGAATGCTTATAAAATAGTGGTCATATCTATTCGAATTATTCCTTCCATGCCTCACTGGTAAGAAGGTTAGAGTTCTATCAATGCCTGCTAACAAAGAGGAGATGGCCACCACAGGCTGGCCCTCCCAGGCAAGAATACATCCCAGTGCGATCCAGGGCAGCCATCAAATGAGAAGGGGCCGTGGGGGCAGCAGCCGATAAGGTGGGAGAGGCTGACACAGGGTCTGGTCAGTGTGACTGAGGTAGGGCCTGGTCCCAGGGGTGTATGAGCCCAGACCTCCAAGGCTTCCCCACAAATCTGCACAAGTGAAGATGCAAGAGGGATGGACATGCAAGAAATGCTCTGCCAAGAGACAAGACTAAAACCTTACAAAGCTTATTTTTTCTTGGCATCATGAAATGTTGTAAGTAATGATACTAAAATCTGATTAAAACCCCCCCCACAAATATCTTTAAAGTAATTTTGAGGACCATAAGGAGAGTACTGCCCTAATGGGAGCAGCTGGAACTATGAAACAAAGAGCAGGAACTGTGAAAGAGACAGGCTCTGAGTCTTAAACCATAAAAGGGGCTTGATACCCTATTAACGCCTGTCTTTCAGGATGACATTATGTTACTTTTTACTTCTTTCCTTCTGTGAAAGCCAGGAGCCTTTAGTGGTGGTTCTCAAGGAAGGAGTGCAGATTTCACAGGGCACAGGAAGGACTAAGTAGCAGGCAGCTACAATTTAAAAGTGACTCTAGGTGATCCTGACATACACTGTGCCCCCGCTGGAGGACCACTCTCTTCTCGGAGGTTCCCGTCGGGGTGGCTGGCTGAGGCCTGGGTGCAGCCAAAATGTATCTGAGATCATCAATATGGAAAGGTGGCGGTTGCTGTTTCAAACGCCCCTTTGAACTAAGCAGAGCTGCCATGTCAGACAAAAGATAATGCGATCCCCCTGCACTCCCGCATGACTCACACCGCCTCCCTGTCTGCCCAGCGTGGGGACAGCTTTGAGCTGTGGAGATGGTAGGAGGAGTGCCAGATGGGATCCCACTGCAGGCCATCTACCACCAAGTGCACGTACGTACCTGCCAACCTGCCCCACCGCTCCTATTCAGTTGAGGGACGATGACAGGCAGATGATTGCAGTGCTCTCTGCAGTCAAACTTGTGAGCATCAAAGAAAAGGGCTCGAAGAAAAGTGTTTGACCAGAAACCAAACACACTTCCTGCATCTCCGCAATCTTCTTTCATTCCCTGACATGCCTGAGACCATTATGGCTTCTGATAATGCTGACTAGTTCACTTTGGACAAAAAATGCAGACCAGCGACAACATCCCTCACCACCACTGATCCTGAGTTCCATCCTGTAATGGCTTCTCATGCCAGACAGACCTGCTTCTTGGATAATTACAGTGTCCACAAACCTGTTCTTTCTCCAATAAGAAGGGGAGACTGATTGAAGTAGAGGGTGCCTGCTGTGCAGCATGTTCAAGAATGCAGTGCACGAGGCTGATATGAGTAGCCAAGTGGTATGCACACTGGGACTCTGAAGGTGGCTGGGTTTCTAAGATCCTTCTTGGTAAGGACATCCCTGACTACACAATCACATGCACAGTGGGGCCCACAGTCTATAACAGAACATGGGTAGCAGGTGAAAAGATGTGCCCTCCTTGCAACCATCCATCACCACAATTCCATACAGCCCACAGAATTAAAAGCCTTGACAATATCAGGTAATGTTTTAGCATTGTCGACTTTCAAATTACTTACAAGTCACAACAATGATTAACATTTATATTTAATATAAAACTTACACCAAGTTATTTATCTTAGTTGAGCCCTAAACGCTCCCTACACATTTCTACTCCTGCTACCTTATTAACATTAGTCTTCAAACTTCCGTAAGTAAAGGATTACATTTAGGACAAGGCAGGTATTAAGGAAATTTAGACTTATGACCCTCCCAAGAGTTAGGAAACATTTACAGGTTACACTCATCTTTCCTATTCTGGTCATCACCATGTTTTCAGAACATGTGTCAGTATGTTATGTGTCCCTGATGAAGGGATCTCAGAAGGAGAGAAGACGTGGATCCCTTTGTAAAGGCACAGAATTCTGTTTTAGGAGTAGCAAGGCAGAGGCACCTGAGCATACAGAGTTCCTTTTCAAAGAAGCTGCAGTAAAGACACAGATTTGAGGGACTAGTCCATCAAACTAGTATCTCTGCACAATGTGTGTAAAAAGCCAGAGGCATGGCTTGCACTATCTAGGGTGCCAAGACCTGGGATGGGCTGTAAACAATGCCAGACTAAGAATTACCCAAAACAAAAACAAAACACAACAGAAAACAACCAAATAACAACTAAAAATACTCTTCTGAAAGATCAGTCAGACAGTATTTCCCACAAGATAACGTGACTTTCACAATGACAATTCAGGTATTCAGGTCTTATTTAAATTAGAGGCAAGGCAGGCATTTTCTTGAGGTGAATTTGGCTAAACAGCGCAAATATGGACTGATGTGCCCATGAAAAGAGATACTTTCACAGTGAGCACAGCATTCATACACAATTTAAGGCCCAAATATCTCCATAGCCTTGGAAGGCATGAGCGTTGGATCAATATTCTACAGACTTCCTCCCTGATCCTACCTACCATTAAATATAGAAAAGCCTTTGGTATAAAAGGCTTTGCCTGACTATCATAAGCATTCCTCACATAGCAAATCTGAATGCATCACTAGAACATTATTAATTCTTAACTCCTAGTGCAATATTTATCCTTTTACGGTTATAAGAATTATTAATTTGACTACTTTTAAAAATATAAGACATCCTCTATGTTACTCAGCCATGAGGCATTCAAATCAACCAATTCTTAGTCAAAAGCTGATTAAGAGGTGGTTAAGATGAGTTAATGAGATAAAATATTTAAAGATAAAATATCTAAGCATATATAAAAAAACATAATTGTGATACTTACCTATCAGCCCCTTCTCAAGAGTGAAGGTTTTGTTTGTAAACATACATTCAAAAGCCACAATGTGAAAAATCTTGTTCACTGTGTTGTGAGTCCCAACTATTCGAATATACCTGGGGGGAAAAAAAAATCTGTTGAAGAAAACAAGCTTCTATCACAACCAATCCAAAGACAACAGAATAAGGTACATTGTGTAAACACAAAGTGTGCTAGGGTATGGACTGAGGTAGACTTTGAACTTGACTTCAGACCTCTACCCGCACCTTAGGGCTATCTCCAACTTAGCCTAGAAGAATTACAGCAAAATTAGGGAGATACCACTTTCCAGAGAATTAAGCAGAACTCAGATCTGATTTACTGAGAAATTCAAACCAGGTACTGTTCAAGCTCAACCCTTGAATGTCAGTATAATGTCCATGAGGCATTTACACTGGAGAATAACAAACAGCTTCTATCTTTGCCTTGTGGTTAGGAATGTGCCTGTGCACAGGTGCACAAACACTCGCAAAACCAAACATTTTCCAACTCAAGGATAGATTTCATCCATTGGAAACAAACGCATGAAATCAATATTGCCTTCTGTGTAAAAGAAAAATCCACAGAAACTACTGAAAACCGTTCACAGTTTCTTATAATTCAATACTGCTCCTACATCCTGGTAGAAAGTTAACCCTATATACTTACGCCAGCCAGCCCCCCCCCCCCCCCCCCCCACCTCCCCACTTGACGGCTGGGAAGCCTTTTCCTGACCAGAGGAAGTGATCTGTAGAGGTGACCCAGCCTGCTCTGCAGCCTCCCTCCGCACACGGACCTGGCATCCGTACACAGTGCCGAGTTGCACAGGGCAGTCCTTGAGCATCCCGGCCTACTCACCCTCAGCATCTCCCTGGAGGTTTCACCTCCGACAAATAAGCATTAACCTTGGAGTGACTTATTCCTTTCACTCTCCAAAGGGACTTGACAGTTCACAGGTTAATGAACAGACAAACTCATTCTTCCGAGTGTCACACAAATCCCTGGGGAATGTGCCACACACTGTCTTACTGGGACTCAAAGGAAGAACCGGGAAAAATAATGAGATTAAGTGATAGCACTCTCCCAAATCATGAGCTATGCACTCTGAAGGATGGGGCATATTAAATGAACACATTTCAATTAGGAGATGACAGACTGGGCAAGGGTTTAGTACTACCCTTCCTCTGCTGTGTAAAACAACCTTCGACTTAGATGATATAATTTTACTTCTGAGTTAATCGCTGTTCACTAATTCGGTAATTCCCTTACATTTCTCATCACTCCAAGTTAACTGTATAATGTAAATGCCAATTTAAAAAATTCACATTAAGGAGACTATATTTGGGTTTTTTAAATCTCATCAGCTATTTTCCCTCCTGTTCCTTCAAGCATGAATCTCATGGCATTCCCGGTACACCTCATTTAGCCATCTGCTCCTTGACATGAGCTGGTCACTCATCTTCATAACCCACATAAATTCTATCTCCCGGGCTGACTGTTCAGTGTGCCCATGCCCACTGCAGGCAGACACCATCCTTCCTGTATGGAGAGTCAGGGCAGTGGCTGCACTCATCAGAGCTCTCTGGTTAAGCAGGAGGCTGGCCCTGAGCTGTTCTCTCAAGACCTCAAGGCAGACAGAAGGTACTGACATTACTGGGTTTGGGTGGGTAGGTAGGGTTCATGTAAAATAAGTTCTAAATGGTCTATGTAGAACAGGAATTGTGCTGCTCTTTACTGTTGGCGGTGACAAGTCTCTGTGGACTTTCTGGAAGGGAAGGGGTGTGTTAAGCCTGGCACATTGGTCTGAATCTAATTTTGTCCATTTCCTTAAACCTGCAGGAACTCAACCAGCATAGCATTTTCAATTGCTCATAGTCATGACAGCCCAGTGCCATTGTCTGCAACCTTGGAGGGGATGGAGGGAATGTGGTTTGGGGAATTTGATCAGATCATTTTCCTGTTCCCTAGGTCGAGTCTCCACCAAAGGAGAGGCAGCTCTCCTAACACTATCCAAGGTAGAGGAGCCAGGAAATGACGGAGAGATCAGGCCCTTTCTCACTGGCAGTTCTTACGGTTAAGACTCCGGGGCTGACCTAAGGGGATGCAGCAGTGTTCCTTCCATTCCTTTCCTTCTTTTTAAAACATTATATGGAACCATGTTCTCCAACTTTAGATAACAGTCAATTCCTAAATTTAACCTTGGTGCAAATACCAAAAATGAGAGAAAATATACAACCTCTCCCTCCCTCCCGCATCTTCCAATTATAACAAACTGCAAACAAAAGATTGTACCGGAATACATTTTACAGCCCTAATGACAGTGCTTATGATAACAAACAAGATAATGTATATGGTTTGAAGAGCACTGAGAGATGCCTCCAGATAGAAAGTTCTATATAAATGAAGATAATGTTATCTCTGCCACATAATCCTGAGGTCAAATTAGCAATTCGCCACTGTACATCACACTTCTTGATTAGCCTGTTACACATAATGCTCATAACAAGTTTAATTATTCTGGTTCTACAATATTTTCAAAGTCTCCACAAAATTACTGCAAATTCACAAAAATGGCATGAAGTCCTTATTCAAATACACATTTAAAAAAATGGTAACCAAGTCACAAGAAAGACACCACATTCCTCTTTCCCAGCAAGGTGTTGTTTAGCCTAGGACTCTGTTCTTCACTAAAAGTCTGCACCAGAATGTAGGAAACAGGCTTCCACTAATCCTCCAACTTCAGTGACTGGCATGGGTGCCTGGAGCTCTACCCTGAGAACTCTGAGGCATAGACCCATGGGCAGTGACTGCAGGGAGTGGGGCCAGCATGGGCAGGTGCTTTCATGGCGCTCACAAAAGAGCATCCCCGAGGTAGAAGAGAAGTTATTACCTGTACTATTGAAAGTCCGAGGAATGGGGATGGGGGAGGGTCCAGCCTCTCTCTCTCTTTCTCACTTTTTTTGAAAAACAAAGCCAGACTTGCTTCTGGGTCAGAGCACCTAAACAGGAGTGGCTATCACATTTTCTCTGCCACAAAAGATTCTGAATAAGAGGTAGAGCCGAAGATTAATTTTTTTCTCCTTTCGGCATCTCTCCAAAGCACAGTCAGACTCTGATTTAACCTGATAATAAGGGCAGTGGCAGCTAGTGACTTCATCAGTGTGCAGAGAGGCACACTGCTGAAAGATCTCGCAGCCGGCCTTTGTTCTCTCGGAGATCCTCAACAGCAGCTCAGACAGTTGGAAGATAATTAAAACTTAAACAGCACTGAGAAAGGCAGATATGCAACAGATTGGCCATTTCTGAGGCGGATGAATGCTGTCCACACGAGTCCTTGTGTAACTGTCTGTTCCTAATGTGCTCCTCCCTTCCCTGGGTCAGTTGTCTCCTTGTCCCCGACGGGGGCTGGATCCCGGAACACGGTTCACAAGAGGATGTTTCGAGGCAGAAGTTTCCAGGAGCTATAATATTGTGGGTGAAAAGAGATTCTCTCTTCTTTAATGAAATGAAACCCAACGCCTGCAAGGAGAGCACTCTAAGATTGAAAGGCACGATGGAGTTTTGAAGAGAGTGCTTTCGAGTCTAACAGAACCAGGGCTGTCGCCCAGCCATGTCACTTAATTAGTTCTGTCGCTTTGGGGAAAATAAAAAAGCCTTAAACCTTTTGAACCTCAGTTTTCTTCTCTATAAAATGAGGTCTGTAACACACGCCTTATAAGATATTTAAATGAGGTAGGAATTTAAAGTGTTTAATGCAGAGCTTGGCAGAGTATGATATCATTAAACAGAAAGTCAAAGAGTAGAGATCACTGGATGCAAAATTTCTTGGTTCGGACCTCAAGAACGCTGGGGGTCTGGAAGAGTGTCCCTAGCTGTATCTGTTAAGATGGCACTTCCAGGAGGAGGCAAGCCCACCCACCGGGCAGGCTTCAAGAATGCAGACTGTTGCTCATTCTTCCTCTCAGGGCACCACAGTGTGGGCGCTGTGGCCACAGAAATAGATGACATTCCAACTGCAAATTACCTGGCTCTATGGCATTTCCTTCTCCAAGCTTCTAGTCCCTAGAAAAGTCTATTTAAAATATTCTTGACCTGACTCAGCATTACATGAAGAAGCAAGCCAAGAATCTTTTGTCCACATTGGGTCTAGATACCCAAGCCCACAGAAGAGTTTCTTTTCTGTGCAAACTCTAGAAGTTTGGAGTTTTAATTCTTTAAGGAAAACACATTAGCATTTCCTAACAGAGAGACATCATAATACTGTGTCCTAGAGGATTTCGCTTTGGAGATTCACTACATTCCCTACCAGTTCTGGGAATGTACAGATTCCTATTCTTAACCTATCGTTCTATCATTTCTTGTCAGGATGCTACCAGATTGGATTTCTAAGTCACATACAACTTTAACATACTAAGGGAACTACAGAAAAGTAGAAGTATAGAAAAATGGCAACTTGTACATTCCCACTTTAAATCCTTTGGTATCTCTAGTCTTTAGTTCTGGTGGACCACAAGCCTACCTGAGGTTACAGTTAACCCTTAACCTTTGCCTCTAGTTACACAATCACCAACATCTGTACTGAGCGGGTTCTACTACAAGATTAAATTGAATACAGTAAGAAATATTTAAATGAGCTCTCAAGGGATCAACTGAAGCTAAAATCCATCAGAATTCTATTCTTTGGTCAACAAAGTTTTATTCTCGAAGTGAACTTCATATCCTTGGGTTAAACACAGACCCTTGAGGACACTAGATTCAGCCTGAGACTGTAATGCAAGAAGGGCTCCTTCCTGAGGTAGCCAGAGAACTCTGCGGTGGCCAGATGTGGGATTTGCAGCTGTGTGGGATTTGGATTCATCACTTCCATGACTTCCTGTCTGACTTTTCCTTTCAAGGAGGTGCTAAGAATGTTCATAAATAATTCTCTGACCCAAGAAGCAGGTAATATCTGCAGGTCTTTCCAGGATGGTATTTTCTTCCAGTTCTGTGTACAGTGTTAGTGCTCTTATAATCAAACCACAGACTGGAGGGGGAAGTGACTTCAGGTCTTGTTGCTAAGGCAGCAAGTGGAAAACAGTTTACTGCCAGAATGACAAAA